GAGAGAGAGAGAGAGAGAGAGAGAGAGAGAGAGAGAGAGAGAGAGAGAGAGAGAGAGAGAGAGAGAGAGAGAGATGGAGGAGGGAGAAAAGATGAAGCCCTCCTCGCTATCTCACCTGCAGGTAGCTGTCACTCGAACTGACTTCGTCCGTTGTTGTGTGCAGGTACCGCGTGGAGCCCAGCTATGGCGCCAGGTAAGCTCGCCGACTGCAGGTATGGCCTCCGCCACTCTCCTATCTCCTCTAATCGCTACTCCCTACTCCTTTACCTAGCGCAGCATAGTGCAGCCTCCAACCAGGAGCATGTCGCTCAGAAGTGAGCGACTTCAACTGTCAGTTGCCCAGCTGCTGCTTGACTATATGTAGTGCTGGGCCCCTGGGCCTACCTGGTACTGTGTGGCCTAAAACGGCCCAGGTGGTCTGGGTCCCTACCGGACGTCCAGACCTTGCTGCTGCTGCAACGTGGCGCAGAAATGCGCCTAGCCTAAAACCGGCCTCCTACTGGTGCACCTGGCCCAAGGCGTTGTCTTGGGTCCTGCAGAACCGAAACGACGCCGGTTTGGCGCCAAAATGCGCCTGGCCTCGTTTCGGGCCTGCCTCCAGTGTACCCAGTCCCAAGGTCCAGCCTTGGGGCTGCAAGTCCGAAACGGCACCTGAACAGACAAAAGTAAGACAGCACACACACACAGAAAAAGGGGTAAGTAAACGAAAGCCTACCTACCTACGTGCTGCCTAGGGCCTGTAGGGCCGCCGTGGGCCTTCAGGGCGCATGCTGGATAGTACGCGGCCTGGGGGCACCTCTCAAATGGGGCCTGTGTGCAGGCTCAACATGCAACAGTACAGGTACTGGGGCCCAGGCGTAGGCTCAAGGCAGACCGCCCACACGCAACACTGGCATATAGGCAGAACAGGCGAGTGGGCAGGGATCTTGGCCATTGCGAGCAAGACCGGCACGCTGAACAGTGCGAAGTGTTGCGATGTGCCTGCACTGCGCTAGGCCGACAGAAGGCAGGCTGGCGCTAAGCGGTAGGGCGCTGGCAGCCATAGCCGGGCTGCAAGAGGGCGCTGAGGGAGGTGAGGGCGAAAGTGGTTCCTCAGAAGGGGAAGGGCGCTGTGTGGGATAACAAGGGAGAGTGAGGGAGAAGAGAGAGACGTACCTGGTGGAGAGGAGGTCGGCATTGGTGTTGACGTCATCACTCACTGGTTGTCAAGTTGTTTGGATGCTTTCATGCTGTAGTTGTAGGGATAGGTTGTAGAGTAGATAGGGCGCCTGGCGCCATTCAAGATAGAGAGTTACATTGGGTTATGTTGTTGGTGTTGCCCTATTGGGCTTGGACATTGACTCACGATACTACTGTATCATTCTCAAATGGATGGAGTCTCGGTTCCATTGTGCTATCTGCTCTTGCTTTGACTACTTGGACTTCAGTGTTATTTTCCAATTTGGATTTCTGTGCTTCGTCCACATTTATGTTCCTTGCAATTTGGTATCGGATCTGGTTCGATTCGCCGCTTACCTTGGTGCGCTGGCGTTATACAAACTTGGTGCGTTGATGATGCTTCTTCGCAGTTGGTTCTTGTGACGTCAGGCCGAAACTAGGCACACGACCTGGGTAGAGAGGTGTGCGCCGGAAGGCTGTACGACTTGGGATGCCGTGGCAACGGCGGAATGTATGATTGGTGATGAGAGCATGCTGATGAGGCATATGGCTAAGGTGACACTGCATTGCATCGTGGGTGGTACCGAGGCTACAACCGGTCATCAAATGCACACTCAGCTCAATTGGTGAGAAATCTGTGGTTGGGGCAACTATCTCCAGGTACGTTGTTCCCTTACCTTATCCTCTCTCTCAATCTCTTCTTACCGTGAGGAAGTGAGTCCAACTTGAGAGTCCTCTCTTTTGGTGAGGTGTCGTGAGCGCTTTACCTTGAGAGACGACAATCTTCTGGTGGCGTTTCTGGAAGGAGAAAGGACGTTGCCTCTAAAGGGCCCTGGTCGAAGCACGTGGGTCACGGTCACCATGCCAACCCAATGGGATTCTTACACGCATCATGACGCATGCAACGGCTGCTTTGTCCATGAGGGCACTTTTGTTGCGCTGATAGAGGGGTGTGCGGATTGAACAGGCCTATGCAGGCGCTCCCAGACCGTCTATAAACATTTCTGGATGGGGATCCGATCTGTCCACTGGCTGTGATCGTCGTCCTGATTGCGACGTTAAATAATTCCTGAGCGACCTTG